TTTGTCAAAGTAGAAGAGAAAAGAATGAAAGTGTTGCTTGGTTGCCCGCACAGAGCTGTGCTTTGAATGGGGTGGGTGGGCTTTGACTTCCCACCACTCAAGTTGGCTTTTGTCAACAGAAGCAAATATGTTCACAAATTTTAGTCTTCCAGGGAAAAAAGAAAAGAATTTCCTTAGAACTAGAGTTGAAAGCATCTGGTTGTGAAAACTGAAGTAGCCTAAGTCCCCATAAAGAAGCTTGGAGAACCTTCTATTATACAGAGGCAGGGGCGATGGATGAGAGCCTCAAAGGTGTGTGGCAGGTGGTGGTCAGCACAGTCTTGACAGGGACCTATTACAATGCTGAGAGCCATGGTACCTGCATTGCCATCAGCAAAGCCCGATGAGATCAAGGCAGAAAGGAAAATCATTGCAAGCAGGTGGCTGCTCTGTTATAAATAATTCAAGGGCACGTCCTGTAAAATCCACAGGAAAAGCCCAGAGCTCATTACAGGCATGAGTTGGTAGACTGTGAGATCCTTAAATCACTAGAAAATATTTTCAACAACTAAAATTCTTTTTTTTCCCTCAGTAATCGTAGATCCCATTGTCACTATGGGGTGACAAGTGGTTCCCCTGAGGACAGAAGGACAGCAGTGGGCAGAGTTGTGCAGCCTGGGCCCCGTCTTACTCAGTGCGTACAGAAGCACTGTGTGCAGAGACAGTGCCTGCAATAAAACACCTGGGGGGGGGGGAACAAATGAAAAGTTTGGTTGATTTTGCTATCTGTTTGAACTTAGTTTTTCCTATTGGTTAGCAGTCTGGTATAATCTACCTCAAGTCCCACCGTCTTTCCTAATAATGATTTTGTGATTTGCTCACTTTATTACCTGCTAATCCTCGTGTGTATTTATTTTGTGTGTAGTGTGTGTGTGTAGTGTGTATGTGTGACTGAGTGTGTGTAGTGTGTGTGACTGTGTATGTGACTGTGTGTGTGACATGTGTATAGTGTGTGTAGTATATATGTGACTGTGTCACTGTGTGTGTATGTAGGGCTGGGGGCTGGTAAATTGCACTGGCCTGTGTCCAGGAAGAAGTAACAAACAAATCCAAGGAAAGTAACCATGAGAAACAAAAACAGAGTATTTCATTAAAAGCTATATCAATTCTTCCATTATTTATTTTATTATTAAGAAATTTTCTGTTCACTTTATATACCAACCACAGGTACCCCTCTCCTCCATCCTTCTTTCCCCTAGTCTCCTCCCCCCCCAACTGATCCCAATTTCCACCTCCTCCAAGGCAAGGACTCCCATGGGGAGTCAGCAGAGCCTGGTGTGGACCAATAGCTGTGGGGTCTCCACAGGACTGGACTAGGCCCTCTGCATAGGCGAGACAGTTGTTTAGCTTGACCTGCTTAAGAGGTCCCTGCTGCATGAGTGGGCTTTTTGGAGCCCAATGCCTTTGGTGGGACACCTTACACAGCCTTGGTTCAGGGAGAAGTGCTCAGACCTGCCTCAATTCTTCCTTTCATTCTCACCTTTTAAATATCTGAATTCTTTCAGGAAATCATTAATTTCTTTATTACTGTCCATGGCTTTCTAACCCCCCAAAAAATCACATAGCAGGTTAAGCCTGGTAGTGTGTAGCTCGTGAATCAGTAAGAACAGGCTCTTCCTTATGAGAATAATAAATAAACCCCTACCACAGGACCCAACTCAAAAGAGACCTGCTGTTTCTCACCAAACCTCATGGGCTCTGGAGCTCTCCTGAATTGCCCTCTTCCTGAGAATGATTCAGGAAGCAGCTCTCCTGCCACCTTGACACTGATGTTCAGTAAACAGGGTAGGAGACTGTGTACCACACCACAGAATATTTTATAGTCAGAACTAAAGGGGAAGCATATTCCTACATTACAGAAGAGGTTTTTTTTGTTAATGAATGAGAGATTTTTCATCTGTAATTATTGTGTCCTTGCTTCATCAAGTCTACAGTAGACTATCAGATTTGGGAATGATTCATATGCAGAAACTTCATGATTAGAGAGCACAAAGAGGTCTTTAAAAGCAATGTAAAATAGCCAAAGGTGTAAGAGAAAAGACCAGCAGGCTTTAATTTATTTTTTTCCACAAAAATTGAAATCAATTAAGTTGCCACCACAATTAAGAAAGAAACAAATAAGACAGAAAGAAAAAATATGTACAATATGCAAAAATATTATGAATGTCTGCTAAATGAATGATAGAGAAAAACCAAATACACAGGAAAAGAAGCTGCAAAATCTCCACAACTCCTCTTGCTAAAAGGAAACAAATAGAAAATCACATGTCCATTAAATGAAGGAGTTTTGGCTAATATTTCTATCATTTATGATTATGTGAATTAAAAGGTAATATAAGTCATCTTATATTATGAAAATATTAAAAAATAGCATGCTTGTTGCTGCCAAAGTGTATGACAGAGGCTCTGAAGCATACTATTGACAATTCTGGAAGCTGAACATATAACTTGGCAGTGACAATCCAGGTTTCATTTAACATATATCAACCCATCCATCAGTCCCATCTTTGGAAATCAATTTTATTCTAACTTGTGTTTAAATGGTGATGAACTGGTTCCAGCAGTGTAAATGTTGGCCACAAACAAAAAGAGAAAGGAATCCTACAGGAAATATTAAGTGTTCACCGTCACTAGACTGTAACATGTTATCTTGATGCTGATAGAATGCAATATTGAACCATGCATGGAGGACCACTTGTGATGAATAGATCACCACAATGACTCTAACTAGTAATAGTAAGTACATATTTATATCCCTACTCTTTCAAATGCTGCTGTGTCCATTCTGACAGAGTTAAGGAAATGAAAGCCACTATATTTCTCCCAGTTATAAAAATTATTAATACAGAATTTAGGAAGCTTAGACTTTTGGAGATGTCCTCAGTCTGATGTTTTTTACTTTTCATGAGCATCTCCAGAAAGTGTGGCAACTCTCAAGAAACACTAGGTTCAGTGTAACTGGGTTGAGGTCTTTAATCCATTTTGGACTTGAGTTTTGTGCATGGTGACTGATATGGATCTACTTTCAATCTTCTTTATGCTAACATCCAGTTATGCCAGCACCATTTGTTGAAGATGATTTATTTTTTCTATTGTACAGCTTTGGCTTCATTGTCAAAAATCAGGTGTTTGTAGGTGTGCAGATTAATTCAAGGTCTTCAATTTGATTCCATTGGTCCACATGCCAATTTTTATGCCAATACCAAGCTGTTTTTATTACTATGTCTCTATAGTAGAGCTCGAGGTCAGGATTTTGGTGATTCCTCCAGAAGTTCCTTTATTGTACAGGACTGTTTTAGCTATCCTGGGTTTTTTTGTTTTTCCATATGAGGTTGAGTATTGTTTTTTTGAGGTCTATGAAGAACTGTGTTGGGATTTTGATGGGGATTGCATTGAATCTGTAGATTGCTTTTGGTAAGATTGCCATTTTTATTATGTTGGTTGTACCTATCCATGACCTTAAAAATAGCAAAAAAGAAAGAACAAACAAAAGAAAGGAAGGAAGAAAGAAAGACAAGAAAATACCCACTAACTATTTCAGTCTGTGGTAGCTAAAGGGTGGTTGTCAAAGTTAACCAAGAAGCTCCTATGGGTCTTATCCTCCCACATATTTAGATATGACTACTTTTGAAAAAGTGAGAACCACATTTCCTTCTGACTCCTAAATCTGTGCATTTGCATGCATCTCACTAGCAATGCCATTAGTCAGGGAGAGTATTCTATAAGTGAGGTCTCCTGCTTCCCCTCTAACTAACAGGATAAAACTCCAAAGGAGTTGGAGTTGGGGAGGGATGCTGAGCTAGCAATGGCTTAGTTGGTCTTGTGAATAGCTTTCATTGCCTCATCATTTTATGAATGAAAGAGATGAGGACATCAACTAGGTGCCACCATAGCTGAAGATAGTTGTGCCTATGTCGTGAGACCCCTAAGCAAGACCACCACAGAGCCAATAACCGATATAAGTACAAAGGGGTTTATTAATAACATGTAAGCCCAGGCTTGGTCCACATCTGTCCAACACACTGGCTAGCTAGGTAAAGGAGGTAGGGCTAGCCAGAGTGAAGGGTTTTTAAAGGGAAAAACCATAAGCAAGGGGGTACAAGCCTTTGCATTCCAGGGTCATACTTCAGTTAACAGGAACATTTAGCCAAGAAAGGAACTACAGAAGACATTTGGAGACTCTCCCAGTACTATTGGAGACTGATGGATTATGCCTTTTTTTGTTCAGCTATTTCTTGTCAGCAGCCTACCCACCCTGGAGGGCAGGGGTCGCCTTGACAGGAGTCTTAGCTGGGTGTCTATGTCTCTGGAACTTGTTTCAGCTTTTATCTTATCTTAGTATTGCTAGAAATGATTTTTTTTAAATGGAGTGTGTCTTGCTCTCTCCAAGATCTTTCTAGGTACTTGAAGACAGGTAAATAGGTCACTATTTTTTTCTTCATGTGTGTGTCCCTCCATCTATACATTCAGCTATTGGACATGATGTTATAACCTAGATGGCAGCTATGAATTCTTTGCATTTTTAACCCACATAGCCTTTTTTGATCATTTGTACTGATATTGACAAATTGTGTTATTTCTCATGTAAATAGGAGTTTACAGTTACCTCTAACAAATTCAAACTATTTTGCTACTCTTTACCATGATGCTTGAATCCAAACACCAGTCACCCTTTCAGACACCATATGTTTACCATGTTTCCCCAGTTTTTCACTTCCTAAAATAGTTGTGCTCAATTTCCTTTGCTTACTGATAATACTACTTTCCTGGGCCCTAAATACTAGAATTTTAACTCCTGGTCTAGAATTTGAAGGGGGAAAAATGAAGACTTTTGTGTGGATTCAATGCCCTAAATACCATGTCAGTGAATGTTTCTCTATGCTATTAACCTGTTTGAATCCTTTTCAAAGTCATGTTTCTAGTGCGTTTTTCTAACCTTATATAACAGCAACTTTTTTTTAGCTCTTATAGTCTTTTTATACTTCTTGTAACAGTTATTTTTACTTGTGTAAAAATTTAAAATATGTTTCAATAAGAATAATTGTATACTCCATAACTAGACATTGGCATGAAGCCCACCTGAAATGTAGGTTGGATCTGTCAAATTACCCACAGATCTGTTATGCTCAACACATGAGACCCCATTCATGGAGACAAGTTATTGTGGATCATGGACTCTTTGAATCACTGAACAGGATACACAATTGTGATGATTACATTTATAAGAGTTCAGAATCTGTTATAAATATGCATGCCTTATATGTCACTACATCAGGCATATGTATGTAAATTTTGTGGATGATACATTGTACACCCTAATAGAGCTTTCCTGGGCATCACAGAATAGAATAGCCACTAGATTAGCCATAAACACCAGACAGTGGTGGCACACATGTAGCTAGAGTTTTCCTGCCTTGCCCACAGTCAGGACAAATCTTTGTCACCCACCAGTCCCACAGCCACTCAGACCCAACCAAGTAAACACAGAGACTTATATTGCTTACAAACTGTATGGCCGTGGCAGGCTTCTTGCTAACTGTTCTTTTATCTTAAATTAATCCATTTCCATAAATCTATACCTTGCCACATGGCTCGTGGCTTACCGGCATCTTCACATGCTGCTTGCCCTGGTGGCGGCTGGCAGTGACTCCTTCTGCCTTCCTGTTCTTTCTTTTCTCCTCTCTGCTAGTCCCGCCTATACTTCCTGCCTAGCCACTGGCCAATCAGTGTTTTATTTATTGACCAATCAGAGCAATTTGACATACAGACCGTCCCACAGCACACACATGCCTTTAATCCTGTCACTCAGGAGGTAGAGTTCCATCTGGATCTCTATAAATTCAAGGTCAAACTGGGAACAGAGCCAGGTGTGGTGGCACACACCTTTAATCCCAGCACTCAAGATCTCATGTCTTTGCTTGGGAAGAACACATACCTTTAATCCCAGGAAGTGATGGCAGGAAACAGAAAGCTATATAAAGCACGAGGACCAGGAGGAGACTTTTAAGCAGTTCAGCTGAGATCCCTTCCGGGTGAGAACTCAGAGGCTTTCAGTCTAAGGAAACAGGATCAGTTAACGAACAAAGCGAGGTTGAATGTGACTTGTTCTGTTTCTCTGATCTTTCAGCTTTCATCCCAATATCTGGCCCTGGCTTTTTTTTTTTTTTTTTTTTTTTTTTTTATTAGTAAGACTTTTTAAGATTTGTGTTATAAAATTTCCCTTACTGTTTTCCCCACTTACCGCATACAATAATAAAAATGATTTCTAAGTGACAATAATCTGAAAGTCATTTTCATTTCCTTACACTTGAAAGAACAAAGGACAAACAATTCCTTGACCTAACAACCCGCTATGCATGTCCTACAAGAGATGGGTCCAGAGTTTGTATTAAATACAGTATCAAGAAAACCAAGTTTCCTGACCAGCAGGAGGATGAATACTGAGCTCTGAGGCTTAAGCTTTGAGTTGAAATTAGGTAAGAAATGACCTCAACAGAAATGACTATAGATTAGTCAGGTCATTTGGAAGGCTGAAGTTAAAGACTGGAAATGTACATATTCAAAAGTACTTCAACTTCAAAATGTCTTCAAAAGAATGTTCAACTGGCCAGAAACACACATGATATCTGCCAACTATATAAAGTCTCCACAAATTCTGTTTTGGTTTGGCAACTGATACAGAAAAATAATGTGTCAGCTCCTTGTTTTACACTTGTAGGCAACTACATTGGCATGTTCTGTATACAAGTCTGTTTTTCCACATGAATGGCATTCAAATACCAGAAATGACACATTATTGGCTATTCTAGAGAATAAGAACTCTTTATATCCATAAATATTCAAGAGTTGTTTGTTAGGAGGAAACAGACAACTTCACAGAAGACTAAATCTTGGCATGTTGACTTTCTCTGGTTGAACCCTGCCAATTTCATTCTAGCCAGCTGGTTCGCTCTAATCTTCCATTCCTTCTGTTTGAATAATTTCCCAGGTTGGAGTGTGTGTGTGTGTGTGTGTGTGTGTGTGTGTGTGTGTGTGTGTGTGTTGTGTGTGTGTGTGTTTGTGTGCATGCCTACATGCCAAGTGTGTCCATCACCACTAGCTTCAAACAAAGAGCATGCTGGGTGAGAACAAAGCACACATGATATGTCTGAGATTTACTGTCCCAAGGATGAGACCTAAAATATTCAATAAGATAGTCACACATCTACAACTTCAAAGTAGTGACAATATAGAAAATTATATATAAAATGGAACCCAAAATCCTTTTTTCAAACTGTTTTGTTAGTTGGAGTGCTAGAAGTGTGTCAAATGACCTTTCAGCTCCACTGCAGTTACATCATTCTTCTTGTCCTCAGAGACTGAGAGCAAGAGGGCAGAGGGATGAGGCATACATTTACATATGGCAGTGTATTAATTCGAATCAGTTAAGTTTGTAATTTCTTTCTCCTTTAATATCCCATAAATCTTAAGAATAATCTTCCTCATATTTCCTTTAAACTTTATTTTATGACATATTCAAATGAGCTTTGAGTATGATGACACTCCTACCTACCTCTAAGGGCTGCCGTGCCTTATCATATAAGATTAGAAAGGTAAGACTCAGATAAAAAGTCATGGAAGCAAAATCAGAGCAGATGTGTGATGAAGCTGAGTATCCAAGGAAAACATGGAAACACAGGAAGAATGCAGAGGACTTCTGCATCTTGTACTTCATAGCAGAGACACACCAAAAAGAGCACAGGCTGAGAAAACAGCAACAGTTTTTTTGAATAATGTTATACATTTAGCTTCTGTAATTACATGGGAAGTTGATTTATCATGGTGTTCTTGCATCATTGGGAAAACAGAAGCAAAGCACATGTGTGGCCTCATAAGAGAAAGAATTGTATTTTGGAAGCTTAGTCTTTGCAATGTATAAAAGAGAAGGAAAACATAAGTCTAATGTTATTACTTCAAAGAACTTCTAGAACAATTAATGCATGAAATTAAACATGGGGGGGAAAGGTGGAGAAAGAGAAATTCAAGGACAGGAGCAAAGCTCTAAGGCTTGCAGAATGGCAATAATCTGTAAAAATGCCACATATTGGTTTTGCTTGACTAGGAGGCTGAATGCTCTTGCTCTCAGTATTAAAAATACTTCTCAGGGGCCAAACAAGTTTAAGCCAAATTGTTAGTACAAACACAACAATATATCTTAAAATTAAATTAAATGACAAAATTAGATGAGAAGATTTGAAAATACCTCTAAGTAGGTAACCTTGATTAATCTTTTTAAAAAATTTTTATTTTATAATTTAGTTTAATTTTACATATCAGCCATGGATTCCCTTGTTCTCCCCCCTCCTGCCCCCTCCCCCCCAGCCCACTCCCCATTCTATCTCTTCCATGGCAAAGACTTCTCTGAGGATTCAGTTCAACTTGGTAGATTCAGTCCAGGCAGGTCCAGTCCCCTCCTCCCAGGCTGAGCCAAATGTCCCTGTATAAGCCCCAGGTTCCAAACAGCCAGCACATGCATTGAGGACAGGTCCTGGTCCCACTGCCTGGATGCCTCCCAAACAGATCAAGCTAATCAACTGTCTCACTTATCTAGAGGGCCTGATTTGTTGGGGGGTTCCTCAGCTATTGGTTCATAGTTCATGTGTTCCCATTTGTTTGGCTATTTGTCCCTGTGCTTTTTCCAACCTTGGTCTCAACAATTCTCACTCATACAACCCCCCCTCTTTCTCGCCAATTAGACTCCTGGAGCTCCACCTAGGGCCTGGCCATGAATCTCTGTATCTGGTTCCCTCAGTCATTGGATGAGGTTTCTAGCATGACAATTAGGGTGTTTGGCCATCCTATCAGGAAAGAGAGCTTAGGGGAGTGGGAGATCCCAGCTGGGTCAAGAACAGAGAGGGAGAACAAGGAATAAGAGACTATGATAAATGATGACCACATGAGAATAGGAAGAAGCAAAGTGCTAGAGAGGTCCACAGAGATCCACAAAGATACCTCCACAATAGACTACTGGCAATGGTCGAGAGACAGCCCAAACTAACCTTGATTAATCTTAAAATCTCACTTTTTATTTGAAAAGTCAACTAAAATACAAATATAATTTAGAGATTTACAAATATACAAAGATAGCATGTGGTCTATATTTAGAGTTGAGTATCAAGGGGTTCAGATTATTTTTCCTATTTGCTAATTAGTATGTTAATTTGAGTGCTTGTGAACATTTTAATCAGAGGGAGATAAATGAATGGTACAACTTCTTATCATTTAAAATACAAAAAGTTTTTAATTTTAATTGTGTGTGTGGGTGTGTAGAGGGCATATTTGCAAGTAAGTGCAGGTGAATATGGTATCCAGAAGGAGCATTGGATTTATTGGTGCTGGAGCTGTAGTTCTGAGTCAACCAATCTGGGTGCTGGAAAATGAACTTTAGTTTTCTCAGTATGTCTTCTTAACTGCTGAGCCACCTTCCCAGGTTCAAGAAAATAATGATTTTGAGGGCATGACAACCGATGTTTAAATCATATACTCATGGAAACATCTTTTTACCAGAGCTTAATGAATATTCCGTGGGAAGCAATGTAAAATCCACCTTTGTAGATTTGTCAGAGCAAGTACTAATGGCTGGAGACTCTGTTATCCAGACTTTATGTCACTGTAACAAAATACCAGACGTAAGCAATTAAAGGTAGGGAGGATTTATTTTGTCTCATAGTACCAAGGACTAAACTGTGGTCTGTTGGTTTCATCACTTTAGGTCTGAAGTGAGCATATGGAGTATGAGTCTGTTTCCCTTCTGATGGCAAAGAATCCAAGGGAGAGACTGTTTACAACAGCATGGGTGTTCTCCTTTCCCGTTTTATTCCATTTGCTTCCTATTCTCTGGGATAGTGCTGGCCATATTTAAATGTCTAAGGGAGGCTGTCCCTCTCTTAGCTAATCCCTTTAGAAATCCCTTCAAAGAAAAGACCTGAGGTATTTAACAATCAATGTGCTTCCCAGGCCAGAGCTTAATGTCTCAGGTGTCAATGAACAATAACAAATAGCTTTTGTTTGTACACATAAACTGTTTTAGGTGTTTCTCCTTTATTTCATGATTTTGTATCCTTGTGATCAGTCATCCTGATCATCAATGCTCTTGATGATTCTAAGAGCAAATTACTCATTAAAAATAATAATAATATTTGCCAGTGAGGCTTAGAATTGAGTCACCATTAAAAGAACCTAAAATATACAGTGAGTTCTACAATTGTTCCTAGAAGTATTTTTAAGAGGTGGATGACAGTAACTGCCAAGTTAATTCCAATCCTTTCAAGCTGATTTCATTTAAGAGCACCCAGCAAAGAGAATCTTGGAGCTTTTGCTGTAGATGGACAGTACCTGGTTCTATGAGCATGGGTTAGAGTTTGAGCACTTGGTAATCATTTGCAGCTTTCTGTAGCATCGTGACAAACCCAGTTATGTCAACTCACTTGCAAAAGCAATTCTTGGAATTGCCATGATTTTTTAGAGATGACTATTAAAAGTAAAGTTATATATTCAATTATTGAACCTTCTGAAATGAAATAAATTTCATGATAACAATAAGAAGTAGAAACATCAGTTACCAATTACTTCACAGCATCTTTTGATCCGTTAGGGTCATTCTCATTTATTCACTCGATTTCCATTTACATCAATATGGTGGAAACATGCATGGAGTGGCTGTCTCCAGGATTGTATTCAAGAAATTTATAGATCAAGACCAACCTTTGTGGGGTATTTAAACCAAGGAAATAGAAAAGGAAAAAGGGAAGAAAGAAAGAATGAATGAAAGAAAGAGAGAAAGAAAGAAAGAAAGAGAGAGAGAGAGAGAAAGAAAGAAAGAAAGAAAGAAAGAAAGAAAGAAAGAAAGAAGAAAGAAAACTTTGAACTTTTTACTAGTTTGAACTTATTTTACACTGAGCTGGTAAATATCACATTTTTTGTTTTTCTTTCTCCTGTGTTTCTGTTATTTTTAGAGCCCTTGTGGTATATCAAAACCCTTTTCAATGTCCTTGGCTAATTGTTGTGAGCTAAAGTATTCACTGAATGTGCATTTCTTCCTATCTTTTAATTCTCCATGTCTCATGCCTGACTGTTGTGTTTGTTGGGGAAGAAAGAATGAGAATTGAGGGCAACAGAATAACATATCTTCAGGAGATCATCCAGTGAGACACTTTGCTCATTCCAGAAGGCATTTTCCTCCTATCTTTCATTTACGATGCTCAGTGGTGGTTGGGACTGAAAGTTATGTCTTCACTGTTGGAAAACTGGTTGACAAAAATCACTTCAGGCTCCTGCTGCTTACAATACACACTTTGACAAATGTGCTGGTTAAGTAAAGAATGATTTTCAACTCACCCCCTTTGGCAGGTACAGATGAAGACAAGGGTTGGCATATGTTGTCTCGCATCTGTGTTTTATTTATTTGCTGTTGGTGATGATACAAAGCTCCAAATAGATCCTTCTGCAGTTCCTTTAGCTTTTAATAGAAGAAATATGAATACATTACTTAATAAAAGGTAAAAGAATACACATGCCATGGCTTGGTGGACGATGAATATCTCCTCTACCTATTCTCAGAATTGCAAAATACACACAATTGTTCTTCATAGATAAGAAAAGAAACTGGCTGACTTTGGCAGAGGTTATTATTATTATTATTAATGGCTATATTGCTTTAAGAATCAGCAGGAGATTTAGAGAACTGGTTACAAGGGTGTAAAGCCATGCAATAAAGGATAAACAACACCCCAAAGGATTTATGTGCATAGACAAATGTTATTATTGTTCAACAACATCTGAAGCATTAAGCTCTCAAAGTTACACCTACTGCTACTACTATGTTTGTTGACTTCCACCATGACTAGAAAATTCCATTGTGTTCCTTGCATTTTTTATTTTAATTTTTCCTGTTCCTGAATACAGATCAAGAAAGGCATATTTTATTAATAGATATAACTAGTGCCAATTATGGTCATGAAAGAAGCTAGAATATGTGCTTATTTGGTCTTTTGAGCATCTTTAGTTAGAGTGACCTACAATATAAAAATACAGATGTAGGGAGGAAGAGACACTAAGTTGGTGGAAGAACTGTATTTCTCTTAAGAGCTATTGTGAGTTAAAGTCTTGCTCCTTAGCATGACGATCTTGGGAAATTGAGGAAATTTTAAGAAATGGGGTCTCTTAGAAATCCTTGCAGCAATTAGTTTTGTGCCCTTGCAAGCAGCAGCTTGGTACCAGCCCCATCTTTTTTTCCTTTGCTTTCTGGACATGGGGTAAAGGGTTATGTACCGCAAACACACTTCTGCATGCCTGCTGTTTCA